TGAGAAAACTGCCAACATTTCCCCATTTATGGTTCACTTTCTAAAAAGGCCATTTATTTCTGTCTAGAATGATGTACAGAGATACTGAGAAACATACAAAACGGGACGGAAAACATGAAATTTTGCAATAATCTTGCGCCACCCTTGCACAAAACGACAATAATTTTTCTAATTTCATAGATAACAAAAGACTGTATTTTTTCTACATAACCTCCCCACCCCCCGACTTTAAAGCTGGATCCGCTCCTGCGCACAAGTCGAAAAAACCACTGGAAAAGCTCAGGATTGTCCAAAAATTGACCACCTTCCCAAAAAATCCTGTTTTCATTGAGGAAAAAATGTGGTTTATCCTTTTTTTTATTTGAAAACTGAAAATTTCAATCAGATCGCAAAAAATTCAAATTTTGGCAGACTTAGTGAATATTGACTTTAATTAAAGTTTTCACATAACTGCACCGCCCACTTCAGAAAATCATATCTTCGGATCTGGAGCAGGGGCAGACTTGAATTTCCGAGACTCAATAGAAGACGCCTCAGTCTGAAAACTCTAAAAATTGCATCCAAATCGCATTGATTTCTGATTTTTCCCGATTAAGTAAATATTGACCCAAAAAACTACAATTTCCAGAAGCTGCATCGGTTCCTTAAAAAAATCATACTTTTTCCTCTAGAAAAACTCGACCTTTTTTTTACGATCCAAAACGCCCCTTCCAGCTGCAGGAACTGAACCAGAGTAGAATTTAAAAGGTTTTCCCACGAACTCGCACTTACCAAAAACTCCTCCAAACAGCCAAAACACGTACGCCCAAAACAGGCTTTTCCTCGACGAGTTCACATCTCTCGGGCCGATACTGTATTGATTCCTTTTCACTGCAACATGTCCTGATTTTCTCGCTTCTTCATTAGGGCGTGAGGATTTTCTTTTGCCATTTAATTCCTCTGTAAACATAAACATTGCCTTCCAAACCACTGTTTTTCCACTCAAAGAACCAGAAGATTTTCCGGAAAACCCAAGCACAACTTACCTCTACCATTAGTTCTTTCATGTATGAAAGAACTATCTGGGCCAATATCGGCGTTTTGCGTACAATTCTGTATGCCAAACAAATTACCAAGCAAACAGAACAAATTGCTAGTCAGCGAGGGTTTTAGCGGCTGTAAATGTTTCATACCTTTAGTGTTTTTCGGAATATCACTGTTCACTTTTTTGCGACTTTTTACACTGTCGGCACTCATTTCTAACGCTCACTTTTCAATACTCCAACCGGAAAAAATTGACTAGGCGTATGTCATACCGCAAAAATTACAACTATTCCAAGCTTTTGCGGAAACCGTAGTAGCAACTACACGTAGTTACATATTGTACTTAGATAAAAGCGGCGATAAGGAGTAATGTTGCATAGTTAAACCGAACGGTGGTATTGTTTTACCCAGTTTGACTGAACAAACACCAAATACACGGACAAACACCTTATGCTGATACCACAACACGGACAAAAAACAAAAAATGCTGATCCTCCAACATTTTCGATGTACAGCCGATATGAACTTCAAGAAGTGCTAGTTGGACTGGCCGAATTTTCAGGTCATTATCCGCCTCGCTTTGCCGAAGAAATGGTAAAGTGGGTCGTGATGACTCTTTTACTGTTACCTGAGCCCGGTTCAAGCCTTCTACCGATCTCAGACAGAACGCACGACCTAAACCTGCTTCACTTTGCCGATGAATTCAATTTTTTCCTCACTGAATCCTCGCGACTTTAAATAAATAAATTTGTGGCCAAATGCAGACTGTCTACCACCGGAAATTAGGAATAAATGCCTGAATACTTATGCGATATAATCAGACTGGAGTCGTTCTAATTACAAAACGAACAAAATCAGGTTTGCTTTTAATAACTATTAGCGTTTGGAAATGAAAGCATTTGAGTGCGAGCCATCAACATTCGGCTAACCGAAGAATTGGCTCATTTGAGTCATTAACGGTTAATTTGCCTAGCAAAGTAACTGCGAGGTTTCAAGCGTTTAATGGCTCGAATTCAAAGACTCATCTCAGAAAAATGAAGATTTTTCACTCACTCATACTGGGCGCAGTCCGCAGCATAAAACACCGTGTACTCATAAATCGCCAAATTCAGGCGAAGGAGCGCAGCACTGACAATGGCGAACACCAACTGAAACAAAAATTGCCAATAAGAGACACAAAGGCGAATTACCAGTAATTGAACAAGGCAAAAAAGTGGCGAAATAAAAAAGCAACAATTGTTTAAAATTAAAGATTTATTTAACAAACTCTTGTTGTAAATAAACAGTTTTAAATTAAACATGTTATAACTAAGCAAACTGGGCTTATAAATCACGGAGAAGCTTTCTTACATTACTTACACGGACAAAACAACTAAATGATCAAAGCAGCGCAAAAATCGACAAAAACGCTTTTGTTCAATCGAGACTACGCAGAATTCACATGCATTTAGTCGGCATTATTACAAATAAGGCAAGGCGCTGGTTGTCGATTCTTGGGCCTCTGGGATTAGTCTTACAGAAACAAAGCGCCTTCTTCGTAGTATTGCTTTAAACCAAGATATCGTTTTGTTTATCTATTCTATAACACAGTGGTATATGATATAGTTTGAAGACACGTACACTTTGATACAAAAAAGCCGCAATTGCGTGTTTGCCACTAAACTATGAGCGCGAGACGATTTAAACTTTGGGAGTGTTTGTTAATATTTGCAAACAATTGATAGATGACTTCCTAAACTAAAAAAAGTCTCAACTAAGAATATTTTCTATGTCATGGACTCTTTAACCAATCGTTAGTACTCACTTTCGTTGCAGGCGTCGGTCAAATCTTCCTAAATGAGACATGGAGAAAACTGGCACAAAAATATTAAATGAGTATACGTATATACAGAGATTAAACACAAACAAACATATTTAATGGCTTGAATCAAGCGAAGTAGAATCGTAGAAAATTTCGAAAAATTCTAGTTGCGTACAAAATAAGTCGAGTTAAGTTATATGAGCATTTTCATGTGAATGACTGGGCGTGGTTGTGACTGAAACTTAAATAAATCCATCGTTGACTCCGGAAATCTCCAATTTCCTGGAAATTCCTAGAGCTAAATAACGAGCAACATAAAACTAGATTATAAAACAAGCTAGACGCTTAATGATTACAACAAGACTTTGTTGAACTTGAGGTCGGTTTCCTGTCCACCATCACTCGGTCCACATTGTCTCCAGGTTCACGTCCCGCCGTTTTATATAAAATCGCATCTGCTAGCTCTCTGAACGCCCTCTCAATGTTTATGTTCGATTTCGCCGAGGTTTCCATAAATCTTATACTGTGCTCCTTTGCGATCTAACAAAAACAAATACTAAAACTGTTAATGCCTTCGTGACCAAGGGGATTTTTGCAAGTTGATCCCGACGTTTTGCTAGCAGACAATGCCGGCTTCTTCAGAGCCATCAGTCCGATGGCAGCCCACACTTGAAGCCACTATTGCCTGCTAGCGGATCAGGAGCATCAAATTCCGCAAAAAAATTGAAAGGATTTTCTCGTTTTTTTCTGATCACTTACCAATTCCCCCCGTTCCATGCTCACTGTTCGCTTGTCGTCCATATCACATTTATTGCCTAGAATCATCTTTTCAACATCCTCATTGGCATGCTAAAATTGGACAACCGACCCATTGTGTTAAAGAAAGACATTCAAAGCGGATGGGAAAATGCTTTGTTTAGGCCAGTAATTTACGTTTAGTGCGCCATTAAACGGCCTGCCAATAAAATCAAAGAAACTTAACGACTGAGCTGAAGATTACTCATAAATAGATGAACAAATTAACACGAAATTAATTGCCCATTTTGCGTATACCATCGCACAAAATACGCGCAGAAAACCTAAGCCAAGGTTCACATTTTGTCTTCGATAAATTGGAATTTACTTAAAACGGCGTATTTTATCAGTATAAATATCAATTTAAAAGCGCAAGCATAAAAGTTCGTACCTCATCTATATTCCGAAGCCATTTCACTATGTTCTCAAAACTCTTTTCATTCGTTATATCATAGACTAGCATGATACCCATTGCACCTCTATAGTACGAGGTGGTGATGGTGTGGAACCGCTCTTGGCCGGCGGTGTCCCAAATTTGGAGCTTAATTTTCTTGCCCCTTAATTCTATGGTTTTGATTTTGAAATCAATTCCTGCAACAAACAACAGACAATCGTTAATAAAACGCTGTTATTTCACTTAATAGTAGGTATTCTAGACGAACAATGGTAGAACAAGTTTCAATGTTAGCTAGAAGTTGAAGCAAAGCCCTCCTGCTGGTTCAGGTTGAGGTTCTATTCAAAGTTGAGGTGAATTGAATTGTTAACAGAATTGAACCATACAACGCCTTAAATTATCTTAAAGTAAGTTTCAGATAAGACTTTGTTAAAATTTTGTGTCCTCATTTCTCATTAAAAAAACATTTCCTGCACATTCCAGTACATGTAAAGACAATTTTGGATAGGATTGGTTGGTGACAACCCTGAATGCGCTTCTCAGGTGCCTGAATAAGCAATTCCAAGGCAAACACATTTGCAACATGCTAAATACCGAAATATATAATGTGCTCGCTCACAGTCGAACACATAAATTTGACTCGAAGAGCTCGGATTATTTATACTGAGAATGTACGTATAAAGGCGAAATACCCATAACAACTGCATTAGATAGGCATAAAAACTGGGTTTCAGAAATAAAGTGTCTGCCCTGAGTGAGGACCAATTGAACAAACTCAGCTAATTTCAGGCAATAAATGAGTTTGATTCATCGGTAAAACCAAGAGAAGTTTTGTGAAGTTGTAAAGAACCTATTAAGCTAATGAAAAAATTATCAGTCTGCTAACTGCGACCCAGCAAATTAATTAGTACAATTCCAGGAACATTACTAGATTATTAACCAACTTAGGCTTGCCTCTTGGACTTTGGGCTATTTGATCAAAAAAAAATACATTATTAATGTAAAAGACCCCCAAATACAGTGCTCACCTATAGTAGATATAAAAGTGGTCGTAAACGCGTCGTCACTGAACCGAAATAGAATGCAGGTTTTCCCCACACCAGAGTCGCCGATTAATAACAACTTAAATAATAAATCGTAAGTTTTCTTGGCCATTTTTCAAAGTAAATCTGATTTTGTTAAATTATTTTTGACTTTGACACCTAAAAATAACGTCAACCTTCACGCCTTGACAAAACTCCTTCGTGGATCATGCGCGCGTCATGTGATTCGAGTCGTTACCGAAACCGGTTGATGCAGCCAAGAAAATCCTAACTAAAGCATCTAAATTCCATATAAATATTGAAAATTGTACAAAAATCGCAAGATTACAGCCCCGTGGTTCTAGTGAAGTCAAATAACAATCCCAATAAAAAGTAGAGAAAAACATTTCTCAGTATGACGTAAGCAGGTTATATCTTCTCCCCACCAACCCGGTTGAATTCCTTCGAAAGTGCTTGGAGTGGTGACTTGACAGTCTTGACACACTTATCTAACCATAAAAGTAAACCTCGAACTGTTCAAAGTGTTTACAGGAACGTGGGAGCTTTGTGAATAGAAAACAGTACTTTTTAAAGTGATTCTATTACAAAATGGTGTGTGATAACTGCCAGAAGAAAGTGGGCAAAGTGATTACTCCAGACCCATGGAAAACGGGAGCGAGAAATACTACAGAAAGCGGAGGACGAAAAGTGAATGAAAACAAGGCTCTGACTGCTTCGAAGAACAGATTTAATCCTTATACGGCCAAATTTGAGACATGCAGGTAAGGAAACATGGAGGTTTTGATATCTTATAGTGTGTCTTTATTCCATACAAATACATGAATTCAATGCCTTAAGGAAGCCACATGTATGTTAGATTTCTTCTCACTTGCCCCTAGTGGTCTTTTGCTTGCTGCATCTGTTACCAACAGAAAAACAGAGTTTTATTGCCATTACAGTGTTTTCTGTTTTGGGAAAACACGTGTTCTTCTCTTTTGAAGCTTTGCAATACATCGTCTTGAGAAATTCCTATTCTTTAAAAGATGAGAAGGAACAATCTCAGTTTTTATGGGGTTTCAGTTTCAACATTTTTATAAGAACCTTTTTTGTCTGTCGTGGAGAGGCTAAATTTTCAAACGCTCTCGATAAGCGTTCATATCTGGGAAACGGTTTCAAATAGCCGAGTTATCAATGGATTTTCGATAGATCGTTTCGAGAACTACATTTGCTTTATATTGTTTTATGAGAAATTTCCAATCTTTGACGATCCTTAAGGCGATTGACGCAAATTTTCAAAAAAAAACTTGAATAGTTACTTACATAGATATCTCGGAAAACCTTGAAAATATCGCCAGTTAAGGGTTGTATAAGTGGGTTTCTGATGAAAATGTTTAGTGACGCCTTTTGCCAACTCGAATTATCCATAATAGTTTTTAAATCACAATTTTTGAGGCAATTTTTATGCCTCTTTTTTCTTGATATATCAATCATCCTTCTATTTTATCTTCAGGACTAATACGAAAAGTTTACCATAATAACATCCTAATATAGAAGGAAGTGATCTCAAATCGATGTTTTTTTCTAGGATATGTAAGCAGAAAGTTCACCAAGTGGGTTCCCACTACTGTCAGGCGTGTGCCTACAAGAAGAGCATCTGTGCAATGTGTGGCAAGAAAATGATGAGTACGAAGAACTACCGACAGTCTTCTGCATAACCAGGTAGATTTTTTCTACCTAAGCTATACCAATATTTACTCCGGAGAATACTACAAGAATGGGCAATTTAGCGTTCTAACGTTTACGTTAACTCATTGAATAAATGAGGACGAAGTGAGACTGTATAGAATTTTGCTGTTAGACGGTGACCTAAAGGAGGATGAGGAAATGATTAGTTTGTACTTGTTGACTAATGAATGCACAAGCCCTTTTTTGTTTAATCAGATCTTAAAGAGCCGGCTGTTAGTGCGTAGGTGCTTAATCAAAAAGAAAAAAAAACGTTTCTTTTGGTCTTGTTTTTTCTAGTTTTCCTGATTTCCACACTAAAATGATACATAAAAACGTTTTTTTACCATGTACTTTATAAGTGAGGCTGTATAGAATTGCGCTGTTAGGCGGTGACTTAAAGGAGGATGAGGAAATGATTAGTTTGTACTTGTTTACTAATGAATGCACAAGCACTTTTTTGTTTGATCAGATCTTTAAAAGCGGCTGTTAGTGCGTAGTTGCTTAATCAAAAACATTATTTTGGTGTTGTTTTTTCAGGCTGTTTCCTGATTTTCACTCTAAAATAATACATAAAAACGTTTTTTTTTACAATGTACTTTATTAATCTATGTTTTAACAATCAAATAAGTAAAATAAAATGAAATCCATATTAATCCAAGCCGAAAGCGGTTTCCGACTCAATAACAACTATAGTATGTAATTGTATAGTTAATTAGGAAAAATGCCAAGTATAAATAACAATAATCAATGTAAATATAAAATATTAAGTAGCACAACATGTCAGTTAACCTTCGATTAACTTAAAAAGGGTGTTTTTTTTCAACTAAAACGCGTATTTTACATGAAAATCAAGGAGTATCTAGGCTACACAAAAATATTATTCCTATTCGGTTCTGTTGAAAAGATCTCGGAACGTGAATGCATATTTTTTTGTCATGTGATCAGAAAACCTGTATGGCACAGCTGAAAATATCCCAGATCTTTTAAAAGAGCCTTTCAAAGGGTCAATCTCTACCAGTCTTTTTGGAAAACATTTATTGAATAAAACTGAAATTCAGTCGCGAGTTTGCACAATCAGAAGGTCTAGTCAGGTTCTGGGTTGGGCAAAATCGGCTATCTAAGGTTTTAAGAGTTATTAGAGTTACATTTCGCGGTGTAAAGGTATTAAAAACACCAATAACTATCCTGATCTAAATAGTATTCTGTTGCCCTAACTCCGTATACTAAAAAGTGGCTTTGTACAAATTTCTCGTCTAAACTACATATTGGTTTCACTTATTGGTAGGTACATTTCTCCATTTATATACATATATAATTTTCCCGGTTACAAACAGCTGGTGTAGGTGGGGCCGTTGATTAGAGTAGTTCGGTGCACTCAAGTACACCGTAACAGTTTGATTTTGCAAATCTAAGATAATTATTGCGCCCAACATTGGCACACCTTCATTCATTAATGAGTTACATAACACATTAAATAAAAGTGTTCGCGTTCCCAAGAACATCCTGTATAAGTGAATACAAAATACCGCATTTGCACTTAGGGACTAAATATGTACAAAACAAACTCACTAGAAGACTATTTACACAAACGTTCCCGCATGTATGGCAACATTTTTAGACTGAGCCGAACTTTCGTCTTAGTAACCTTTCTCAGGTTGAAACTGGCAAACCCAATACATCCTAATCCTGCGGGAGTTTCCCCCCATTGTTCTCGCCTCTTGTCCACTTTGTTCAGCTTCAGTCTATTGCTGTCTTTTCTCTTCCTCCAGCATGGCATCGAGTTCATCAGTTAAATTGGCCAACATGTTGCCGATATCGTTCAGGACATCGGCTGGTTCAGACCTGCATCAAACGATTGAATTACTGAAAATACACTAATATACAGGGTGATTGGATGTGTGCGGGAAATGCTTTTGCATCTAAGAACAAACTGATTTTGCTCACCTACTACGCGAACTAGTATTGGCTTGTCTGTTCTGACTGGGTGTTGGGGACGGATGAGCCGGCAGGCCTGAAGGTCTCGGTTTGGGCGACGAAAATTCGTTTTGGCGGCTGGCGGTACCCGATCTGGTGCGAATCGTGCCCGCATTCTCATTGGCGAACGGCAGCGAATCTGATTCTGTGCTGGAACTCGACTGCAACAACAAACCATCATATTACACATAAAAAACCCCTAAAACTGTCGCAATTTAGACCAGCAACTAACTATATAATATGCGGATCTCCGCGCAATAACGCTGTCCATTAGGTCGGTTAATCGGGATAAACCCCCAAAACGTAGCATATTTCTCTATGGCTGGTTTACGATTACACTAGAGGTATATTGGAGCAATTTAGCGTCGGAACGGGGTAAAATAGCAGTTATATAACCGTATAAACGAGGAATGTTGCCATCATAATTGCCGCTATGTTGGAAAAAATCACACTAGAGCGTAAGACTATGCGATGCGAAAGAATGGATGGAAGCAGGGCGTTAAAGGGTTTATTCGGTCTGTCTCATTGTTTAAGATTTTCAAGCAATTGTTTCAATTCAATTCCAATCATCTTCAAGACATCACAAAAAACTTTGTAAGGCAGTGGAAACCCCATTAAATCAAATCTCAGCAATCTCAACCTCTTTTAAACAAATGTTGGTTTTTCAATTTTTTCGGACTCTACTTAGCAATTTTTTTTGGAACTTAGCCATGTTTTGCAACCTTTGCTGCTCTTTGTTCTCAATTTCAGTTCTGGTGGCGACTTTACCTCCTTTTTCGGTCATTGATTTTACAAATTCTACAAAATTGCTGATGATGCCTGGAAATCGAAACTTAGTTCACTTATCGAAGGCATTTTGCCCTATTAAATTTATTCAAAATTTAATTTCTGACTTCGCAGATTATATGCGAAATAAAGCGGACATTTCGGTCTGCAAAACCCAGTTGCGATTTTGAAAAATTTTGGAAAATTGCCTGAGGATGACTGCAAATAGAAACTTTGTTCAGTTATAAATGAAACGTTTCCCTACAAAATGCAACCACAATTTAATTTCTGGATTCACAGGAATTAGGTCGGAAACTTCGGCCTGCAAAAATCGCGATTCCAATTTTGAAACGAATCTGAAAAAAATCCTGAGGATGACCGAAAAAAAGAGGTAAAAACACCACCAGAACTGAAATTGAGAGGATAGAGCAGCAAAGGTTGCAAAACATGCATAAATGGAGCAAATCATGGTCAAATTGACTTGACTCAAGATCCCAAACAACGAGGTGCCGCCAAAAAAACGCTTTATTTTCTAGTTTTCCTTAAAAATACTTCATTGTATATACTTTCCTGACTGTGTTTCAATTCCAAATCAAAATTAATTCCTGGGTTTGAGTCATTTATTGTCTTTATTTATCAATTAAAATACGTTTCGGTGTATTTTTCCACCATCATTGTTGTTGCTGCAACAACGCTACACGTAAAAACTGATGATGGTGGAAAAATACACCGAAACGTATTTTAATTGATAAATAAAGACAATAAATGACTGAAACCCAGGAATTAATTTTGATTTGGACTTAAAAATACTGACAATCTTCAGGAATAATGAAGCGGATTGAGCGTAAAGTTCTCACCTTAAAACTAGCATCAGATCCATTCCGGTGCTGCAACGCCAGAGTCTTCATCAGTTCCTGTTCCTCAGCGCCCCAACTTTGCGACGAATTCAGCTTGCAATGTGTGGAAACCGCACCTGGAGGAGTTCCAGGTGCGGGAGGAGGAGGCAGTGGCAAATCTCCTCCGCTCTCCAGCGATATACTCAGACTATCGCTGCTTGGATAGGCCGGAAGCGGCAGCGGACTGGACGTCTGCACATGGTGGATCTCCACCGTGGTGGTTTCCTCAGTGCATTCGCTGTCGCGCCTCTTTGGAGGATTGGGGGGAATTTTCTTGCCCATCATCGGGCTGCCGTATTGAATGTAGGTGTTGGGCAGCGTTTTGTATTGGGGATTTCCGTATTTCTCCGGATTGAACTGCGGCTTCTCAAAGTCGGGGAATGTTTCTCGTGCCTGGAACAATCAAGACAGTCAGCAAGCGATTAGCTGGGAACTCATGTGGTCACCTTGGCGGTGATCTTGGCGATTGGCCGGACCTTGATGATGCCTCTGGGCCTCGGTAGGGTGCCGCCTCCTTCATACAGAAGCCCGCTCTCATTGGTCGGAGTGATATCTCCATCGTCGTAGGACCGGGGCCGCCATCCGGTTGGCTGATTGTAGTAGAAAGTTTGCGTGTTTTCCGCCGAGAACGTATGGTGTGTCCTTTCCGTCGGGTCCTCTAAGGATTCGAGGGATTTGCCTCGACCAGTCCGGATCTGGGGAGGACATTGCGTGTAGAAACTCTTGAGGGTATAAGGCATGAACCAGTCAAGAAAACTTTTGTACTCAGTAGGGAAAATCAGAGCTTTAGCACCTACCTACTACATTGATTGTTTCACTGTATTTAGCTTGGTTAGGTGGTTACCAGTAGGCCTGGGTAACTCAATGAATTTTTAGAAGTTGGCGCAGTGCTACGCAAAGGGTTCGGTGCGCCAACCCAACGCCCCGGCACAGTAACGCAGTTCCGTTGTTGGGAAAATGTTGATGACTTTTTCTACTCGGTTTAGATTTATTTTAAGGGCAATTGATCAGTTATATTTTTAACATTTTCCTTTGAATTTGGGACAAAATCGATCAAAATTTTGGTTTCCTCAAAAAACGACTAGAGAATCAATATTTGTAAAACTCGTCACCCTCATCGCATCGCACTTAAAACTAAGGCTCGGAATTTTTAAAAATCTGATATTCGTTTAGTGGTTTATTCGAATAGTAAAATTATTCGAACATTCGAGTATTTCTATTCGTATTCGTTATATATTCGAGTGTTCGTTTTCCGTTCACCATTTTCTAAGAAGAAAAATCGTTATCTCATATAATTTTTGGCAACTAGCCGCAACGCATAAAAAAGTGCCTTTGTCGGCACATTAATTGTAACACCGCGCAAAAGTTGATAACGCGAAACACCAGAACACAGAGACGTAATTTTACATTCATTTGCAGGAGAGTAAATATGATTATTTTCATTTGCTTGTACATATATGGGTATTTGTTTAAACGCTTGTAGAATATGAATAATTTATTTTATATATATATGCAAAGATATTTGCACCTTGTGAGTTTGATAATGTTGGTGTATTCGAGTAATGACTACACATAATTATTCGCTTTTCGAATATTCGAATACTCGAATTATACGAGTTTGATTCCGAGCCCTACTTAAAACTGATTAACTCAGAGAGCGGCAACACCTCAAAAGCGCAACTCAACACAGTGTTACTCAGGCCTAGTTACCGGCACCTGGTAGAGGAGACTGAGTGGGTGGTTTGGAACCTGGGTTTTTCTATATCTGTGATGATTCCCGATGGTTCTTTGCGTAAAACAATGATGATTTTTTTTCATGAAAGCCGCAAAATGGGCCGATTTAGCCAAATTGTTCCCGTGTGTGTGTGTTTGCACACTTAAGTAAAAGATCTGCCACCCAACATCAGTCTCTTCTAGCACAAGCGTCTAGGTGTATGGCACTTCTTGTCAATTCTATCGATTGCGGCGATTCGAACCTAGCGGTTTGTTCGATTTAAGACGATTTAAGGTTAGGTGATTTTTTCCCGGTATTTTGTTGTAACCGTAAACTCTTTGAATTTTATTAATATAGTGTTGGACTTTGACTGTGTTAACTTAATTAATATTGATAAAATTATTGGACTTACAAAGTTTGATTTAGAAGAACTTAACGATGTGTTTTTAACGTTACTCTATATATTATGTACACCAAATGGGGTGTTTTAATAAGAAAAATGTGTTATTCAGCAAATAGATAGTTGGCTTAAGTTATTTTCCTATGTGCAATGTGCAAATTTAATTAAAACAAATTATCAACGATTTTTTAATTTTAAAGTAACTGAAAAAATAAAATTACTATTGTAAGAATCAAGAAATATTAAGCAAAAGAATTGCTGGTATCTTCTGTTTCCATTTACTTTTTGTTTAACATGTCACACTAAGCAACACATGAAAATAATTGC